GATAAGTTGTTCTATCGCGCGATAAGTTGTTCTATCGCGCGATAAGTTGTTCTATCGCGCGATAAGTTGTTCTATCGCGCGATAAGTTGTTCTATCGCGCGATAAGTTGTTCTATCGCGCGATAAGTTGTTCTATCGCGCGATAAGTTGTTCTATCGCGCGATAAGTTGTTCTATCGCGCGATAAGTTGTTCTATCGCGCGATAAGTTGTTCTATCGCGCGATAAGTTGTTCTATCGCGCGATAAGTTGTTCTATCGCGCGATAAGTTGTTCTATCGCGCGATAAGTTGTTCTATCGCGCGATAAGTTGTTCTATCGCGCGATAAGTTGTTCTATCGCGCGATAAGTTGTTCTATCGCGCGATAAGTAGTTCTATCGCGCGATAAGTTGTTTTATCGCGCGATAAGTTTTTCTGTCGCGCGATAATGTTGATTGCAAATTTTTTGAATGAATGGACTTAGCAAAACTTATCGCGCGATAAAGTCATGAAAATTTTTGTAGGTGGATGGCCCTTGACAGCCACCATATCTGTCACGCACTCCGCGCAAATAAAATATCCGCGAAATTCGCCCGCACTGAAATAACAGTTTGGCGTGTTGGATAATAAATAACTTATTAGACGTTTTGTTGTGTAGTATCGCTGAGTATTTTTACTCGTTATTTGTATTTGTATACGGCACAACTCCCAAAACTACTCAACGATACTACACAACAAAACGTCTAATAAGATATAATTATTATATGGCTGCGTCTCACAGGGATTAGGAACTACCGACTTTACGAATCTGATTGGTTGAAATCAATATTGAAAGCGGTCTAGATTTTCCCATCTAGACCGGTCTAAAAAAAAAAAGGTAGAAAGAATATAAAAAATTGGCATATAAGATACAGCCATATAATAAACATCTTATTAACTGAGCTAGGTCGGTCTGTATGGGAGAATTTTGACCTCGATCGCTGGTGCAGACCCCACTGCGTTCGGTCTGTACTGGCGACCTCGGTCAAGACTCTCCCATACAAACCTCCTGCTCGGTTAATAAGAACTAAGTAAAGTTGCATATGGTAATATTTTTCTGCAGATGATATGGTGTACATGGCGAAGAATGAGGACCTTGAATTGGATCCTAACGAATATTTTTTAAAGGAAAGTGGCGCTATTTGGAGAGGAAGCTGGAAGAGGTTGTTCGGATTCCCTTAGAACTTCGGACAGGTTAGTAACAATCTGCCAAACATACGTACTTGAAATTTATTTCAAATTTGGTGTGAAACGAAGGTGAGAGGGGGGGGAGGGAGAGGGGGAAGGGGAGAGGGTTACGTCACATGCGCCTTTTACTGAGCACCTGGTTAAATAAATTCTTCACTCTGTTTGTTTAGGAGAAAAGGACAGCTACTTTCTCTTTGATGAGTCCTCTAAGACGGGTTGCCTTGACACGTAATCTGGCGCTCGCGTTGAGTTTAACCGACCAGAACGTGCTACCTCAGTAGAGGTCCCATTATGCTTTAATTTTTTTTTCACAAGTTTTCTTTTTCTTGTTTCCTTTTTATTTTGATGATGCAGCTTTAAATTCGGCTTCGTTTCTTTTGAATAAAGGAGGCCTCTCCGCTACCGCGATGTCCAATATCATTCCTGTGGTTAGGACGATGACACACATGGTGCGTATTAGTGACGAGCTGTCTACGATGAGTAGGAGTTTCATGCGTGTAGTTATCTTTATCATCCCTTTCACGGATCTTCTTGCGCGCGATGCAACTACTGATGCGAGGACGCGATTTCTCGTCACCTTTAACGAGGATCAGAGAGCATGTGTGTGGCGTTATGTTATATAATGTTATGTTATGTTATGTAAAATGTCATGTGACATCATGAGGGAAACTGACCTCGAGCGAAGAGATGTTTTTTTGAATAAAGAGTAATTTGCCATTTTAAAACGGACAACACATGTTTTTATCGTAAACTTTTTCATAAACAAAGGAGGCAGAAGTATTTTCGTACTCTGTTTTTGATACATTTTGAACCGGTCCTGTTAACCAGAGGACATTTTCATTATTTGAAAAAAGTCAAATAACACCTCAGTTATTTCTGGGGAGATTGTTTGTCACCCTGATCCATGAAACCAAAACGTATCTCTCAAATTTTGGAAGCAGAACGCGGGAAATCGGATAGTTAGCAAACTAGAAGGAGGGGTGTATATCCTGTGTGCGATCTAACTCTCGCTGCACGGGATGTAAAAAATTCGAATTTAAAGCCGACGGTTTCAGCTTTGAGATCTTCGTATAATCACAGGTAAACTCGACCCTCTTAAAAGGCAACTGGGGTGATCCGGAGAACTCTGAGGACGGAACTGCACCCTGGGAATGGAGTGAAAGTATTGCAATTCTGGAGCAGTTTTGGAAGGAGAAAACAATTGTTAAATATGGCCAATGCTGGGTGTTTTCTGGAATCCTGACATCATGTACGTAAGTTGCAGTATTTTCAGAATGTAAACTGTTCACGGTTAATCAATGAGCCCGTATACAAATCACTCGATCGAGATCGAGCTGCAAGCACATTCGGGAAAAATTAAAGGCTGCGAACCTGCATAAATTAATTTCCGTTTTGTGGATGCAAAGCTGGCTGACCCAGTTTTCTTAACCTTTTACGTCCCAGAAGTGCTTGACATGCAGTCTTTCGTCNGAATTTATTGAGGCAAACCCAAAGAAGTGTCCTTACCGAGATGGCCGAATCATCTACATCAACGTAGCTGCAATGTTTTTCAGTGCTCCGAGCATTAGGAATACCGACCAGAAGCGTCACAAACTTTGAGTCGGCGCAGGACAAAGAAAGCAGTTTGACAATTGATTACCACTTTGATGCGGACGGACGACCCGATACTAGTTTCAATGAAGACTCAGTGTGGTAAGCAAGGCGCGTCGTATGCACCTTTCTTACTTACTAACTTTTATTATTACTATACTCAAAAATAGTAAAAAAGTACGTAATCAAAATAAGTAGCCCCTCCAGCCGGAAAAAGTATTATGATTGCTGTAGTGGGAAGCGAGATGGAATAATGCTTAAGCTTACTCTGTCTTGATGGGTACCGGTATAAGTCCATCGTAAAGTTACTTCCACCATTTGTTAGGCTGCCGTGACTGTTCGGTGGTATCCATATCAACTTCTGAAATGAGAGAAGCTGTCTGAGAATTAAGTGTCTTTCCCAAGAACATATCACAATAAGCTGGCCAGATCTCGAACCATGATTTCTCTTCTTTGTGTCAAGTTCACAAACCGTTAGGTCGGCATGTCTCCCACCTATCGCTTATGCCACATCGCCCTGCTTTGCCTGACTGTAGAAAACGAGCGCAATATTGATTTCATAGGAACTATCACGTGTGGAACGAGTGTTGGTTGAAAGGCTTTGATTTACCTGATGGTCATGATGGCTGGCAAGCAGTTGACGCGACACCTCAGGAAGTTAGTGGAGGTTAGAAAAGGAAAAAAAAGTGTTCTTTTTCTTTTTTCCCTTGCCTTTAATTCTGCCCATGCCTTTCCTTTGCATATTCAATTTTTTACTAAATGAGCCATGTCAAAGCGTCACTAAAGTCTCTCATCTCGTAAATTCTTTTTGCCTCAGGATTTGGTCAAAGAGTCAATGTTGTTTCCTTGACAAAAAAGTTTACTCTTACGGTACTAGTGGTTGTGTACTACCTCCCTCCCCCCCTTAAACGAATCTTGTAGTTCTGTTTGAGAGGTCACACTAAGATTATTTCTGTTCCTCTTCATGGAAACGTCCCAAATTAAATGGAAACTCTAATCATTAGTTGTGCTCGCCATGTTTCTTCTTATCAAATCTTTTCCCTCCTCCAAGTTTAACCATTCATGTCACCGTGCTGAGGGTAGCAAATTAGAAGCTGTACAAAAAAAAAGTTTGCAAAACACAACAAGGCCGGACAACAGGACACACCAATCTTAAACAGGGTTTTTGATAGAGTTCTGATGAGACAAGTGAGTTGAGATACCATTTGGTCGAATCACTTACCAACCGGCTTTAAATTTGAATGGCAACAACCAATTTCTCACTAAAGAAATCAACTGAGGGGTAGACGAACTCTACAAACTAAGGGGTAGAGTTAAGTGAGGTAGAGTTAAGTAGGGTTAGGTAGGGTACTAAAACTGATCCTGGCACTTATATACCAGCGAACCAAGTTGAACTCGATCTTGTGGTGACGTGCACTTTCTTCTAGTACTGTTTGACAGTTGACTTTGAACAAGAGAGGATGAAGATAGAAGAGAAAAAACTCGTCAGAGATGTTATTTCAAAGATAGTTCCTTGAACTCAAAGCAGCAAGTCACCCAGGAATCATATCAATTGTTCCTCACTCACTTTTTGCCCGAATGCTTTTGTGAAAAAGGAGTAAAAGCGAAGTAAATATCTAAACTGTGAGGAATTCGGCCTCTTAATCTTGTCTCGTTTGTTGACAGAGCTTCCTCCTTGTTTTTTAGCTTATTATCAGTGTGGACCTGCCTCAGTAAATGCCATTAGGAATGGGGAGGTACACCTCAACTGTGACACCGGCTTCATTTTCGCCGAAGTCAACGCAGACAAAGTTTATTGGGAGGTTCCGTTTTAATTCAGCGGAGAGATGCGAGCTTTTCAAATCGATGAGAAGGCCATTGGCAAGAACATCAGTACTCTTAAGCCCGGCACAAATGGAGAAAGAAGAGATATCACACGCCATTACAAACATCCAGAAGGTACTCTCAGTAACATGCAGATAC